TGCGTTTATACAAATATCAGAACAGAGGTGACAGGTAGGCATGCATTTAGACGTTTATTTACACTCAACAACAATTTACCATGTACGAATGTGAAAGAACAAACTTGGGTAAAACTTAACTAAACCATAGTCAGGAACCTAGTACATCCAGTAGACATTGACAGTGTACGAATGTGACCATTGCACAAACATTTTACTTAACTAAACCCAAGTCAGTATAATTGTCGAATGTCATATCTTAAAATTGTTTCGTTATTTAGAGAATTGAATGTGAATGGCAGATTTTTGATTGTTTCTGTTGTATTTATTCACACCATTTATAGCAATGGTCGATATAGAGCTTGACATATCGTGTATAGACACCAGCCATGTCTATTGTTGAAGATTGTATGTTGCCGTATCTGTTTGTGGTTCAGTATTTTTTGTTTTTTGTCGTTAGGTTGCTGTCTCAATGTGTATACCATATATCTTCCTCTTGTCATATTCAAACTATGCCTTTATTGTTTTTCATTGTAAAATTAAAAAAAAAAAACATATGGTAAAAGTTATTATATGGTTCCAGACTTTGTAAATTCTTTAATGTTTCAATTCTTTGTATAAATGAAAAGGACGAAACTGACATATTTAACCAAACATTTGCAATTTTACACATACATTTGAGTAAAATAAAATACGAACCATAGCCTTTCCCAATTTGTTTTTTACTCACATCGGCGTTTTGGTATAAACACGATGAAGATGTAGTACCAAGCTCTCTGTACGTTTAAGAAATTCAACCCATGCAGCAACTATCTTAAAGGTCCGTATATATGGCTTTTTACAAGGTAAAATTTTGTTCCTATCTAACAACCGTTATTTTTAAGGGCAGTACAAGTTTCCCATCCATCATCCCCGTCGACACTCATGCAAAATCGACATAATAGTGTTACATATATTAAAAAAGTTTTCGTCCTAAATATTCATGGAATATTTGCCACCGGACTGTAAGCAAGCACATTCAATCAATCTTAAAAACAACAACTGGTATACAAATATCTGTTTGGGTTGCTCTAATATCAACGATAAAATCTAAAAATCAGACAGTTGATTTTTTTTATTAAATGGAGTTTAAAGGCATAAAGCAAATTAACAAGACAAAATCAAAAAATAGAAATACAACTGTTATCTGATAAATTAATGTATTTTAAACATCTAAAGGATGTTGTTTGACAGATTTTAAATAATATTTTTTTAACGTAAAAACGCCAAAACGTGGTGGTATTACCTCACCCCTTTCTGATACACTCCACAAGAAACAGCTTTATTTCTGTCTTATTGAAGCATGTGATTTATGCTAACAAATTGGATTTGCATGTAAAACTCCTCATGGTTTATCATAACTACTTCATGAGGAAAAATTGTTTCCAGTTTATTACTCGCAATAAAGAAATTTTTATACGAATATTATTTCAAAACACTTAACTGAATGAAAATGAGTCTTTGTCTTTCGACAATCCATCAATTAGACAAGACAGACGCGAAAGAAGAACTTCATTCAGAATTTTAAATGGATAATTTTAATTGTATTGTACATTTAAAAGAGAGGCGAAAGATACCAAAGGGACATTCAAACTCATCAGTCAAAATTAAACTGACAACGCCATGGTAATAAAAGAAAAAGACAAACAGACAAACAGTCAAACAACAGTACACAAAACACAACATAGAAAACTAAAGACTGAGTAACACGAATCCCACCAAAAACTGCATATTTTTTTGTATTTATTATAAGATATTTACACCTTGTTTGGCTTGCGTGTAAATCCAAAGGCATCGTTTTATTAATTTTTCTTATTTTTTTCAAATGTTTGTATCTAAAAAAAAACAAAAACAAAAACAAAAACAAGCACACAGCAAGACCTATTTTTAGCTCACCGGGGCCCGAAGGGCCCCGTGTGAGCTTATGCCATCACTTGGCGTCCGTCGTCGTCCGTCGTCTGTCGTCGTCGTCTGTTGTCGTCTGTCGTCGTCTGTCGTCGTAAACTATTTCAAAAATCTTCCCCTCTGAAACTACTGGGCTAAATACCTTCAAACTTTAACTAAATGTTCCTTAGGGTATCTACTTTATAAATTGTATCCGAAGTTTTGATCCATTGACAAACATGGCCGCCATGGCTAAAATAGAACATAGGGGTCAAATGCAGTTTTTTGCTTATATCTCATAAACTAATGCTTTTAGAGAAAATCTGACATGGGATAAAATTGTTCAATTGGTCAAGATCTATCAGCCCTGAAATTTTCAGACGAATCGAACAACTCATTGTTGGGTTACTGCCACTAAATTGGTAGTTTTAAGGAAATTTGCAGTTTTTTGTTATTATCTTGAATATTATTATAGATAGATATCAACTGTAAACAGCAATAATGTTCAGCATAGTAAGATCTAGAAAACAGTTTATATGACCAAAATTGTCAATTGACCCCTTAAGGAGTTATTGCCCTTTAAAGACAATTTTACACAATTTGTTCATCAAGTTTGCTAACATTTAGAAATCTTCTCCTCTGAAACTACTGGGCCAAATACCTTCAAACTTCATCTAAATGTTCCTTAGGATATCTAGTTTATAAATTGTATCCGAAGTTTTAATCCATCGACAAACATGGCCGCCATGGCTTAAAATAAAACACAGGGGTCAAATGCAGTTTTTGGCTTATATCTCCAAAACTAAAGCTTTTAGAGCAAATCTGAAATGGATAAAATTGTTTAATTGGTCAAGATCTATCAGCCCTGAAATTTTCAGACAAATCGAACAACCCATTGTTGGGTTGCTGCCACTAAATTGGTAGTTTTGAGGAAATTTTGCAGTTTTTTATTATCTTGAATATTATTATAGATAGATATAAACTGAAAACAGCAATAATGTTCAGCAAAGTAAGATCTACAGAAAAGTTAAATGACCAAATTTGTCAATTGACCCCTTAAGGAGTTATTGCCCTTTAAAGACAATTTTACGCAATGTGTTCATCAAGTTTGCTAACATTTAAAAATCTTCTCTTCTGAAACTATTGTGCCTAATAATTCTTAACTTTGAATGAATGTTCCTTTAGGAATCTTGTCAATGAATTGTATCCGAAATTTTGATCCATCAACAAACATGGCCGCCATGGCTAAAAATAGAACATAGGGGTGAAATGCAGTTTTTGGCTTATATCTCAGAAACTAAAGCATTTAGAGCAAACCTGACATGGGGTAAATATGTTCAAAAGGTCAAGATCTATCAGCCCTGAAATTTTCAGACACACCGAACAACCCATTGTTGAGTTGCTGCCACTAAATTGGTTTTTTTATGGAAATTTTGCAGTTTTTGGCTATTATCTTGAATATTATGGAAGATAAAGATAAACTGTTAACAGCAAAAATGTTCAACAAAGTAAGATCTACAAAAAAGTTTATATGACCAAAATTGTCAATTGACCCCTTAAGGAGTTATTGCCCTTTAAGGACAATTTTACACAAGTTGTTTTATGTTTTTTAACTATAAAAATCTTCTTAAATGAATCTAGTATACATTTTGTATTTCACTTCCTTGTACGTCAAGAAACATAGACACTATGGCTAAAATGGAACATATGGGTAAAAAGCAAAAATAATCATTGATGAAAGATTTAAGCAAAAAAAATAACAGGTGAGCGATTCAGGCTCTTGAGAGCCTCTTGTTATTTTCCTAATTTTGATGGATTAGTCATTACATATAAAACATGACATTTATTCATTAAACCGTTGTTGTTAATTGCAGCGGCGAACATAGTACTCCAACTCGGTTTCATAAATCAGTAACCATTATTCCTCTGAATTATTTATGACTAGGCAATACATAAACTTAAAAATATAATATTACAACATCCAAAGAATGATTATGTTGTGCAATAGTCTGCTATAATCTCAGTATTATGACTCATGGTTGATATCGATAACAGAGAAACAATTTACAATTGTACAGTGGTTGCAAAATTACAACAACGGGATGCTGAGTATCCGTAAACGAGGCCGCATACCGACACACAAAAAAAATGTCAAAAGACACCCTGATGTCAGCATATGATATTTAGCAAAACACAAATATCTGCACAATAAGTTAAGGTCTGAATAGCCGATTTAAGAATATGTTAATTAAAGTATGCTCTCAGTTATTGAAAGCAAGTTCAAAGGAAATTACCGAAATGCTCTCCTACACTTTATCGTCATTGGCTGTATTTTAGTTTCGATTTCACACAGTATCGTCTTAAACAGTATACAGGAAAACACAACCGTCTCTTTCCATCTTTTAATTAGATGAGCAATACAATTCTCTTCTAATTCTTAGCCATATAAACAATTTGTGATTAACTTCTTGTGAAAAAAATGTGTTATTTTACCCTTTTTCTGTTTTGTAAGCCGTTGTCTGTCCTTTCGTTGTTTTTTTTTCGATTTTCGTCGATCTATGATTTTGATTGTTCTCTTTGGAATCTTCTGTGTGTTTTTTTTTTCTTTTCTGGTAAATCCTTGACATATTCTATAGTCGAGTTAGAAGTTTCTTTTCCATCTAAATAACCTACCGACCAAATGGACGTACGATGCCTTTTATAGCGGACTATACGGTAAGGGATTTGCTCATTGCCAAAGGTCGTACGGTGGCCTATAGTTGCTTACATCCATATCATTTTGACACTGTTGGATAGTTTTCTCATTGTCAATCATACCACTTCTACTTACTTCAAATTAAAACATCTTATGCTGTTTTTACATATTTTTTGCATTCGTCTTTTTCTTATGAACCTGCCTGGTGCGCTTGCTGTCTATTTTTGAAATCTGCTTTTCGTCTTTTCCTTTTGCTATTTTCTAAAATTTTCTACCAATTTTGCTATTTGATAATGGTAAATAGCATGCGTGCATAATGCATTCAGTTGTACTCATTTTCACTCGATAGATCATCTAGAAAATCGTTACTTGAATAGAATACTGATAAATAGGCTATCAATATCGATGTTGAAAAGAAATTAATAAACTCTGCTTGCGTATTTCTCATTAATACTTTAATTACCTGGGTGACGAACGGTTCTAAAAGCCGAGACAATTATTTCTGGGTTGAAGTTTTTTATGCATATATCTGTGTATCAGTAATTAACAATGATACACCTTTATTAATGGACTAAATTTTACATTTTTTGTCTATAAAGATCATGACATATATCAACGGATTTGCAATGAATTTTGCGAAATCAAATTAATACTTGGGGAATCAACTGACATTTATTTCAATTGAAAATAGCATTTGTTAGTGAATAAAAAGGCAATTTGGAACAAATCAGAAAGCTTTTCTATCAACAAGAAGATGATGAACTCACCAAAACAATTCAATTTACGTCTATACAGAGAATTTATTTCGTAGAATCGTAATCATTATGTGTTTTTCAATTTATATGCTTTGGTGACAGTGTCAGTGAGCGTTGGCAGGGAACAAGATGTTTGTCACATACAGTATGGACTCATTAAGGTTTCACAGCTTGTAGAGGGAACCAGATAATAACCTGAAATGGACATATGCTCTGTTTCATTTAGTTTGACTGTGATCACCTGTTGCGCAAAAAATTGATGAAATAGAAAAATCCATAGGTGGAAATTTACAACGGGAAATATCTGTATTAATAGCAGAATATTTATGTATAATCAAATGGGCTTTGTTTACTCTGATGTTGAACATTCGGATGAAGTTTTTTATAAGGTAAATACACGATTTTTTATCTTTTTTATTCTTTTTTTTTTATTAACTAATTTTATTGTTTTAGATAATGAACCGCGAGTTATTTGATGTTTATTTAATAAAGGGGGTGATTGTCTAGATATTTTGCACTTTATCTTACAAGTGCAACTTTCAAAAAAAAAAAAAAAAAAAAAAAAAAAAAAAAAAAAAAAACACTTTCATTGTTAAACATCCAAATGATTTTAGTATTACTCATGTTTTATCGTATTAGACTCGAGTAAAAAGCTAGAGATTTGCAATAAGACAGTTCCATCATCAATATTATGTTCTATATCGTTATTGAAATTCCATCTAGTACATTTAACTCAAACTTAAATGAATAAAAAGTGACATTGCATATCATATGTCAATGAGACATCATACTCTAAAACACAATAAAACCAGAGAAGACGAATAGAGTACAGCACGTGGTCTATAGCACGAGACAGGTATCTATTTGTACCGTATGTCAAATTCCAAACCGAACATAGTCGAGATAGGTTGAAGATATTTTTTAAAGAGACAAACACAGATCAGTCATCAACGAAAATTCTTTAAAGAACAAAACCATTAAAGTTTTAACACATGAAAATCACGTGACATAGTTTGACGTGGTTTTTTGCTAAATGTGCATTTGTTGAAGTACTATTTGACTAGTCTTCCGTTCCCCATTTTTAATAGCAAGTAGTTAAGCAACTAAAGATACAAAGTGAATGTACTATAAACCTAGGTTCAGAAAAAACACCACTTTAATTAATCATTTGATATCGGTATAATAAAGACGAAAAAGTTAATGGTACAAGAAACATACAATAAATTATATTTTGACAAGAGAAAAAGTGGGGGGGGGGGGGGGGGGGGGGGGGGGGGGGGTGAGGTATCTACTTCAAGAAATTTGGGGCTCAGACTACGTATCTTGATCTCATTATTTTTGAAGAGTAAGTTTTTATACCGCTAGAATGAAATGGAAATCTTGTACACGGAATATGTTCCCTCGTAGTAACACCTTCGTCTATATTTCTTGATTGTGACACGACTGGGTGCGACTTATATATTTTAATGTCGAATTATGATTTTCCTTTTACACCATGATAGGTGCTACTAGTGGACCAGGAAATGTTTAACAATTCGAAACACCACGGATTTTGGTGGGTTTCATGTTGCTCATTTTTTTTTAGATTTCTGTGTAGTGATTTGTGGACATTAATTTTCTTTTTCTTTCTGTATTGTTTTCGTCTGTTTTTCTTCGACTTTAAGACTGTCCCCGATCTCTTTCTCCTCTTTTATATGAACACATCAATATTAATTATATCGTAATATCCACTGACCCCGACAAGAAAATAATAAAAAAGTAAAAAGAAAGAAGGGAGCCAACTCTGATAATTAAGTTTTATAAACTATTGGGTAACTTAAATAATAATAGTAAAAGACACCTGTAAAGTTCGAAATAAAAGGTCTGTGAAAGTATTATCACGAACAACATCACAGTGACTATAATATGACTTTTTTCATGTTTGCAAAAACTTAATTAAGAGATTAAAATGTGTTTTTGGTTTGAATACGAAACCGCAGTAAATCTCCTTTAGCTGTCTCTGCTGGTTTTATTTTAATTATTTTCTTAAAAATAACCAACAATATTAATTTTGAGCAACGAACAGTTCATTGCTTTAAGCACCAATAATCACAAGACTGTGGAGCACAGCTTGCATATAATTTCAATTACTGTAAGTTATGGCAAGCAGAATGATTAAATTTTACATTGACCTATTTTGTTATGTAATAATTACATTTCATAGCTTCATACAAAATGTTCACCGGTCAACGCTTCATACACAAGGCTCTTCGCGGTCAACGCTTCATACACAAGGCTCTTCGATCAACATGCGCTTCATACAAAATGTTCTTCTGTCAACGCTTTTACACCTACTAACATTACAAAAAGAAGCATTCGATTCTCAAAAAAAGAACACAAATGTGACTACTATGTCTTGTATTTCTTTTTGTCAAAAATTATCGTTTCAAGTTGTATTCAAGAACTATATCGACAGAAATGTGTTTCCCTTGCATAACCTTCCAAAATATAGCTTGAAAAAATACCGTTTTTATCAGAAAGCATTATATAAACTGCATTTTGTGAAAAATATAATGGTTTGGTTAAAACCCAAAACTAAAAACGTCAAAGTCCTAAGAAAATAGAAAAATTCTTAAACATTCATGACGGATCAATTCATTTCACGCTGCCTGATAATTGTTATAATCACTATCATCACTTCGGATAATAAATACCCAGTAACTATTTATCCATGATGTATATTACGAACAACGGTATATACGATAACTATTAGATACCAATGAAATTGACCAAAGATTTAATGTGTTCGTTGACAAGCTGTTAACGAATATAAAAAACTCGTTCGCCATATAGACAGCTTGCCTTATAATCAACTCTGTCTGTTTTCCTCGAAAAATTACAATTTACTCTGATATACAAACAGGCACCGCAATTGTTCTTTATATCGATTGTGTCCTCTGTGGAACAATATTACAATTGGTGCTAAATTAATGTCCTTCACGTACAGATAGACAACTGCATTTCTATTGAATATATAATATTATGAACAAGTGTGATTTGTACAACATGAAAGTACCAAATGCGTATATACGCAGTTTTTTGTATTTTCTATTTTACAAATTAGAACGAAATGCTGATAGGTTTAAAATAGTTTGCCTCACTGTTAAATATATATATATATATATATATATATATATATATATATATCAAGCTTTAAGTACTAGAAGCATTACTCAGTTATTTCGAAGCTATGAATATGTTCAATGAACTTGTTCGCCCTGCGACGGTTAGACAGGAAAAGAACTGCTGATTCATTCCTTAACCATAAACCTTTAAGGACCCGCACTCCAACATAATTTGTTAGGAGTATCGATAACATATATTTATATGCGAACCGTCTCGATAGTCTCATGGTAGCGTGTTCGCTTCGATTGCGGGAGGTCGTGGGTTCGAACACCGGCCGGATCAAAACAAGGACTTTAAAATTGGTATTTACTGTTTCTCCGCTAAGCACGCGGCATTAAGGAGTGATAGCAAAGACTGGTCTTCTCGGAGTCAGAATAATGTGTCCGGGTAAGGTTACATGTCTTCCTGCGGACTGTTACCTTGTGAAATAGCACGTTAAACATCTGGCTCAGCGTGTCGGTCTAGTACAAAGCAGAGTCAATTTTTATGTAAGCAACTATAGGTCAACGTACGACAGTCAATAATGAGCAAAACCCATATAATAGTCAACTATAAAAAGACATTACACTGTTATGATTTTCTTGAATAATCTTAAAACCTTAGATCCCTCTCCGTTCTATGATAAATAGACGAAGAAAGCCGTAAAATAGCGTTTACTTACTACGGGTTTTTTGTTCACTTCGTTGTCAATTTGTCAATATCTACAAGACGTTTGCATTGTGTATATATGGCTTCTTTTGTTCTGATAATGACAAATTACTGCAGCTTTATATCAGCGCGAATAAGATAAAAAGATGATCATTTTCCGTGTCTTTCTTAATTTTTCTTCATGTCAATTGTACATGAGGTTTCATTTATCTCTTGCGTCTGACAATTACTGTTTGTTTGAAATTCCATTTATCATCCGCTAATATTTTATGTCTCGTTTTATGGCTTCCGATCTTTAAAATGATTTTTGCCATGCGTCAAATCTTCTCTGTTTATTGCACATGACTATACATCATGATACGTTGTGTGAAATGTTTAAAAATCATCTTCTATAAAAAAAAATTATTCGACAAAGTTGGCTTAGACGGTTTTGATTGAACTTGACGATTTTTATGGTCCCGGCCAGCTAATTATATTTTCAGTTAATTAAACATCCTGGGTTTTTTAATCTTTTGGGTTGGAGTGTTCCTGATGACGGTATTCGGACGCAACATAATTTTAAAGAGTTATTTTCATTATGGCTATTTTTCGTTTTTTTTTTTAAATCCTTATTATAGCATAACATTATAGTTGTAGGCAGGTATTCCAAACATGCTACATCTTTGTCAGCTGATGAGAAATAAAGGCAGGTGGGGTACTGAAAGAGTACTGAAAGAAAGAAGAAACAATGAGCTACTGCGTAAACACACTGTTACTCGTATTTCAAAAAAAAAGGTTATTTTACAAAGTTGAAATTTTTGGAAAACTTCTTATTGTCGAATTTAGTACTTTCAGTTTCGCAGCGCAACGTAGTAGTTTTATTTTGCAAACATAAGCAAAGCCAGCTCCAAAAACAGTGTCCTATATTTCTAATATCATTTCCTATTACGGAATAATGATGAATCTATTTTCGGTCCAATGACCTTATAAATCTCAAATATTAGAAATCAATTTATAATTTAAAAGGAGTCTGACCTTATATTGAAAATCTGAGCCACTGCTTTGTCGCATTATTATATGCTCTTTGTGTGATGAAATAAACGTACATTTAGTATCATTTTACCTGATATTGCTACTGGTGTCTTTTTTTCATTTTTTCTCCAAATATGTTCATTTTAAAAGTAACATGCAGGTTATTGTGGATCATCCAACTCTTTTGAAAATGGCTTTTGGCTTTCATATTGCACCTTTTATTTTCTCAATATCTTTTGAAATTGAAATTATTGCTAATTTAAAAGACAACCCAACATTTTCCAGAATAAGACTGTAGTACTTTCTTAAGCCATCAAAAGTTCCAAATGCAGACACAAAATATAAACGTGTTTGTAAATATTCGATACATGCTTTTTTTTCCCTATCCATTGGATGTCGCGGAACGGCTGTATTACATGCATGTACTTTTGAAAATGAATTGGATATTTTTTTTATGATTTTTGCTCATACATATCTCTCCGATATTCTTCATCGTCCAATTGAAAACTCCTAAAATAAGATAGCGTGTGGGAAATCATATTTCAAAAATAACTTTTCCCTTGAT